GAGAGAGAGAGAGAGAGAGTCCAGCCCCAAGGACTGCTATCCTGCTATGAGAGTCATAACAAGCACACACTGTTTCTATAATATTTAAACTCTTGATGACAGAGTAAGCCTTCAATACTGTAAATGTCACTGGTAATGACTGCATATCACAGCAAATATGATGCAGTGTATTAACATTAGAACATGTGCAAATAACAGTAACAAAATAAAAACCAACAATAATTTCTTCTGTTCTCTAAAAGCTTACTGATATCCTGTTAGATAGCTACAGTATGAGAACATCGTTTCGGTTCCCAAACCTCTGCTCAGGGGCACCCCAGCCATTCACTGTGTCTGTTACATTTCACCACCAGCTCAATTAGTTTAATTAGGTAAAACTCAATGGGATATTGATTAGTCAAACATAGATGCTAGTGGTCAAGTCAGAAAATACATGTACTGGGGTGAGTTTAGGAGAGGTTTTGAAATAGTTAAGCTGACACACTTAGACATACAAAAATCTTAGTTTTACACCAACAGGATGATCCTTTAAACATTATTTTCTTTGTCTGCCTGAAAGCCTTGTGTCCATGCAGTCCCTTGTTGAAGTGCTTATCCTGAGCGAGGAGTGCAGGCTGGGAGGAGGGATGCAATAAACCCATGGAAGCACAAGGCAGAAAACTTTGGATGTATCACCAGACCATCACAGGTTATACACACACACACACACACACACACACACACTACAGACAGGATAGAGATGCTGGTTACCATACCTGCAAGTCTACAGGGAGACCAAGCAAACTCCACTCTTATATAATGGACACCTGTGAGACAGCACTATTGCTCAGTCACTCTGCCAGCTCTTACAGGAAGCGCCATTACCAATCATTACTTTACCTTGTATTACCTGGGATTGCAGTCATTAAGGAGTGTATTTTTGATCACTTGATAAATTGTATAAAAGGAATACAGCGGCAAGCTGTCACTGCGGCAAAAAAATAAAACACTCAGAAGGTGCTTAAAATCTTAAAATAATATCAAAATTGAATATTATTTACATATTAATTAATATCATTTATTAGTGTTCCAAAATTAATTTGCCCTTAATGGGCTAAAGGTGCATACATTTCTTCAGTCCATGTGAGCAGGCATCTCATGTCCCACCCGCCATGTCTCTGTCAGGCCCTCCTGTCTCCTCCCCAGTCTGGCTCAAATGAGCCACACCTGTTACTCGTTAATTCCTTGTCCGTCCTTGTGTGTAGTACCTGCTTGTCTTGTGCTCCCCAGTCTGGTCACTGTTGTCCTTGGTGCTGTGGCTGGTGTTTCCCCGTGTGTCTCTGTGTTCCTGTTCCCTGGTCTCCCTTCTGTTTGACCCCTGGAGGTTCTTTCGTTTTGGGGTTCCTTAATTTCTGCTCAGAGTAAACCTCCAGTTACACCCCCGCCGCTGTGTGTGGGTCCTCCCTCCTTCGTGTTCATGACAGGATGCATATTCCGATTCATGATCTCTTTCTGAAAGTGACAGGATTCCCTATGTCTGAGACTGGAAGGGCAGAGGGCAGCACTGGCAGTGAGCTGGTGGATCTGGGAGGGGCCTCAGGCGAGATGAGCCTTGAAAACAAAGAAACCTTATTCAGCTTCCAAGAAGGGAGCTGTCAGATCTCTGTGTTACCAATACACAGCAGGAAAACACCCTCCAAAGACGCACATCAGCAGCGGGACAGAGCGGAGAGGACAGCAACTGCAGGTACAGTACTCATTCTCCGCTATGACCAGGCTGCTCAGCACATTGAAACAAGAAGTATGAGTTTGATCTCTTATTTGGATTGATTTTTCCCTATATGTACAGATATGTCATACTTGGTAACTTAAGATGAAGATTGAGATGGTCTTTATTGATCCCAGGGGGCAATTCTGGGTTTCGCCTCAAAATTAAAGGAACACGGAAACCAAACCAATCTCCTTTGCAGTTTTTTTTTTAACAGGCTGTATCAAAAATTAATTATTTTAAAAGGATTATATGGAAAGACAAAGCTGGACAACATTTACAGTTTAATTATTTAGTAGATGCTTTTATCTAAAGCAATATACATTTTTGAGAGAGCAGGATCAGTCTGTCCCTGGAGCAACTGGGGGTTAAGGGGCCCGACAGTGACATCACTGAGCTGACCCTGGGATTTAAACCAGCAGCCTTGCAAGCACAGGTTCTTAACCCACTGAGCCACACGCAACAGCTCTCGATAGCAAATGCAAGGTCGCACTTAGGTTTCTTTATCTGAGGGACTGACATTAATGTTTTCTGAACTTTAAAGTGAGTCAGAGACAACTCACAAGCATTTCTTTTATCATTAAAATTTAAATTGAAATTATTTGACCTGATTTATTTTGAGAACTTTGGCTGGAACCAACCAGGAATTTCATAAAGAAATAAATTAGGACAAATATTTAAAAGCTAAACAACCAATCCATCTCTCCATCCATCTATTTTCTGTAACCACTTGTCCCATTCAGGGTAAGGGCGGGTCCGGAGCCTATCCTGGAGGCTGTGGGTGTAAGGCATGGAACAACCCAGGATGGGGCACCCACCCATCACAGAACTTAAACAAACATCAAATACATTTCAATGTACATTTCATGGAAGCAGGTTATAGTGCTGGGTTTGGGGGGGTGGAGAAAATAAAATAATGCATATTGCTTTTTTATTATTTTGATGTGGGGTGGCCACATATTTACTAGGTGTAGGCATTGTTACCTCTGACCACCCCTTAGATCAGCCCTGGCTGCTGAGGCAGACAGCCTCTTCAAAAAATACACTCAACCGTACTGCTCCGCATGCACTTACATTCAGTCAACACTAGATGGAGACATGTCACCCACCATCTCCTAAGAATATGTATATTGTGTATTACTACAAAGAACAACAAATTTTTACAGAGCACTGAAATGTGACTAAGGCATTATGTCAGGTATATTCTGTATTTAAAAGCCATTCTAGTTTTACAAAATCATGTTGATAAAGGTTTTCAGTGATACAGAGTCATAAGCAGCTTGGAAAGAGACAAACATAATATAAATATTGACAATTGCTTAATGGTATTTTGTGACATTTGACATAATCCTTATTTTGTGGCATCTCTAATAATTGTTCATATGATAATATCTCTTTTGTTTTGTATTAGGCATTTAAAATATGCTCCTTTTTCTGGGAAAAAAGAAATGTTTCCTGTTCATCCTGGGAACCTGTATTTTGACCTTCTGTTACCTGAAGGCCAATATTCCAAGATCTTCCACCACTCATTCCAAGCCTGTGAGATATAAGCCTTTCCCTCAGTACTGCAGTCCATTCCTGTCCAGACGAGGGGCACCATGGCAGTGGAGAGACCGCCTCTCTGAAAGCTATTTCACCACAAAAGAGCCAAACTGCTCCCGAATAGCAGAGGAGCTCCACTTTATCACGGCTCCCTTGAGTCGAGAGGAAGAGGAGTACCCTCTGGCCTTCATCATCACCATCCACAAGGAGCTGGAGTTGTTCATGCGTCTCCTAAGGGCGATTTACGCCCCCCAGAACGTCTACTGTATCCACGTCGACGCCAAAGCCTCACAGCAGTACATGACCATTGTCCGTCAGCTGGCCAGCTGCTTTCCTAATGTGTTTCTGGCAACCGCAAGAGAGAAGGTCACCTATGCAGGCTTTTCACGCCTCAAGGCGGACCTCAACTGCATGGCAGATCTGGCCAGATCCTCCATACCCTGGAAGAAGGTAATAAACCTATGTGGCGAGGACTTCCCACTGAAGTCTAACCTGGAATTGGTGCAGTATTTACGGAACAAGCCGTGGGATAAATTAAACATGACTCCAGGCATCAAACAGCCACCGTCCATGAGGTACCGAATACAGATACCTTACGAGGAGATTAACCACTCCTACATGGCCCCTAAGGGCAAGAAGTACAGAAAGGGGCCACCTCCACACAACTTGGACATCTACTTTGGGACAGCTTATTATGCTCTCACACGGCCATTTGTGGACTTTGTGCTGCGGAGTACAGTGGCTAAGGACCTACTGGAATGGTCCAGAGATACCTACAGCCCTGATGAGCATTACTGGGTAACACTAAACCACCTAAAAGGTAGGCTAGTACTTCTCTGCTCCATTTCATGTTATTATTCATGTTATTATTTATTCCAGCCCTCTATATATGTTAAAGTTGTATGTTATTTTTCTTATTAGATGCACCAGCAAACAATCTAGAAGGCAAGTGGTCAGGTGACATTCGCGCATTAAAATGGAAACATTATGAAGAAGTAAAACACAAAGGCTGCAAAGGTACTGACTCCTCATTACAGCTCATTTTCTTTGTGAGAGTCATAGAACATGCATGAGTGAATAACAGATTAAAATGTAAGTCCAACTCAATCACTTAGACTCGTGACTCTGCAACCAAAATTAAAGGAATATTATTCACAAAATCAAAAACCCTAAAAATAATGATCAATTGCTTAAAATCTGCTTTTTTTAGGGGAGTTCATATTTGAATTAGTTTTAACTGTTTTTTAAATTTATTTATTATTTTATGTTTATCAGTATTCAGTGCTGCCTTACCAGGCCATACAGTTCAATATGATGTAACTGCACTAAAAAATGACCACGACTTTTAAAATACTGGCTTCCAGCAGAAACACTGCTGTCTGATTCTGCCAGCAAAAACTTCACCGTTCCTGGCAAACTGCAGGAAACCGTTTATTTTCTACATGCAAGTTTGGCATCTAAAGAATGTTTTTTGTTTTATAGGCATGTATGTCAGAAATATCTGCGTCTTCTCCCTGGAGGATCTGCTGTGGGTCACTAACAAGCACAGCATGTTTGCTAACAAGTTTCAAATGCAGCTTTTCCCAAAGGCCGTGCACTGCATGGAGCTGTGGCACCGGCAGAAAGTTCTGCGGCAAGCAGAGGTTCCCATCCAGCCAGAATGGCGCCTTATCATTTAAGCATAGAAATCACATTGGAATAGAGCTGAAGGCAGCCAATGCATGACAATAGATTTTTCTCATTAAAGCGAATAGGGATGCATTATTTTCAGGTGCAAAGTGCTGAAACTCTGGTGATTGGCAGCTTTTCTACAATTTATTCTTTGCTGGCTTTGTTATTCTTTGTGTGGACCCTAATCAGAGACTGATGTTTAGATAACAGGAGCCACCATCTCTGTTCTATGTCTTAGGGTTTGTTACCTGCATTTTGTTCTTGGAATTATACAAATGGCTTTGGGTCCAATTTGTTACACACATTTCTTGTTGACACAAATTTCATCACGATAAGCCTTAAAGCTTTTTACCCAGTTTTTGGGGAAATCTCAGCAAAAAGAAAAGATCCCTTTAAAATGTCGTACAAGAATCTTTGTGTTATTTCCCAAATTCTGAAGAACACCTATTTTGACTTCCCTATTAATGCAGAAAATGATTTATTAAAACTAATTAATACAATATCTGAATCAATTATTAATATTATGCTCCAGCAATTAAAAAATAAACTATTGTCAAATAGGACTTATCTACCAATAGACTATCTGTACTGGTAAGGCAAATCAGTAGTTCATATTTGGGTAAACTTGTCAAAACGTCTCTGCTGGTACACTGACAAATTACATTTATTTAAATTCTGAATCAAAATCATACTCCGCTTTATTGTCATTCAAACCACTTGACATGATAAGAATGAAACAGTTTCTCAGGACTTGGTGTGTGCAGCTAAACAGTAAATATCCATCCATTATCTAGACCGCTTCATCCATCTGGGTCGTGGGGAAGCTGGAGCCAATCCCAGCATCTTTGGGTGAGAGGTGGGGTACACCCTGGGCAGGTTGCCAGTCCACCACAGGGCCAACACAGACAAACAGCCACACACACTTGCATGCACACCTATGGGCAATATAGAGTAGCCAGTTGACCTATTTTGCATGTCTTTGGACTGTGGGAGGAGACTGAAGCACCCGGAGGAAACCCTCGCATGTACAGGGAGAACATGCAAACTCCACAGAGAGAGGCACCCAGGGTGACCCAGGGATCGAACCCAAGACCTTCTTGCTGTGCGGTGACAGTGCTAACCACTGCACCACCGTGCCACCTTAATAATAAAATACTAGAATAAAAATATCTGAACTAGGTAAACATAGAATAAACTAAGATAAAAACCTCTGAAGTAAATTTTTTTTTTAAAGTAATGTACAATATTGCATAATTGTATGGCAGCAGCGACCTAAAGTGCTCAGTGCAAGTTGCAAGTGACAGAGTGACATCAAGGCATGTAATTATAGTGCAAAATGTTTGGGTGGTGGAGCAGTTTAACATTCTGACTGCATTTGGATAGAAGCTGTTTTAGTCTGGATGTTTTTACTTGGATGCAGCGCAGCCTCCTTCCCGACGGCAGGGGGGGGTGCACAGTGCATGTGCAGGGTTGGTGGGGTCATGAAGCATGCAGGTGGCTTTTTCCCTGCATCTGCTGATGTAAATGTCCCCAATGGGTGGTAAGCTGCAGCCGATGGTCCTCTGAGAAGATTTTACCACCCTCTGTTAACGCCTCCTTCTTTGCCATAGTGAAGCTGCCATACCACACAGTTAGGCAGGAGGTCAGGACACTCTCCGCCACACAGCTGCAAAAGGACCTGAGGACGTCAGCCTCCAGTCCTGCTCTCTTCAGCTTCCTCGAGAAATAGAGACGCTTGATGGGCCTTCTTAATGACAGCCGCAGTGTTGGTGCGCCAGGTGAGGGTGTTGGTGAGTTGTACCCCAAGGTACTTGACGGAGGTGACCATCTTCACAGCAGCTCCATCTATTTAAAGAGGGTGGGGGGACGGGGAGGGGGAGGTGCCAGTCCTGCGGAAATCCACGACCATCTCCTTGCTCTTCTGGATGTTGAGGATGAGGCTGTTGGCCCTGCTCCACCATATCAGGTCCTCCACCTCCAGCCTGTGAGTGATGCGTCCTACCACTGCTGTGTCATCTGCAAACTTCAATATGAGGTTGTTCTTGTAGTGACCTCTGCCGTCATTGGTCATTAGTGTGTACAGCAGTGGGCTGAGCACACAGCCCTGGGGGGAGCCAGTGCTCAGGTGGATAGGCCTAAATGTAGGCCTATTTATAAAATCAACAGCAGCGGCATAATCAGATTCGCTTACACTTCTTGCTGTGGTTTGTGCCAACAGACACAAATCAGTGCCGACATCACTTGCTTTTGCCCAGTACCATCTCTGTGGAATCTGAAATATTTCCATATATTGAAAAATGAATGCATTCTGGTGATCAGCTCACATTCGCCTAAGATGCAAATGATGGTGACTATGGCTGGAACACATGCAGAGCTCACGCAAAGACAGCAGAAGTAGTATCACAACTTGATTATTTGCAATGGTTAGTTTTCAAGTAAATATTTATGTCAATGAACTTGTAAGACCCATTCAAATGACAAGTCCTTGGGTCACTGTTCCTGAACAAGATGGTCAAAATGCTTAGCCATGTTGTCAATATAACTGTGCACTCTGTAAGCATTTTTCAATGTAAATCATGGCTAAGGTTTTGATGACAATGACTGAAAATGCACAAGAATGCACTTCTTCTGCATGGCATATACCAATTTCAGCAGTACAAAGTAACACATACTGTACATGTACTGTAACACACAAACACACATATGTATACCTATGTACACACTAAAGATATGCATACCTCTATGTGTGTGTGCTACATTGTATGTTTTGAGGGGTAAGACTATTCAGAGTACCAGTATAATATTTTTTGACCTACATGTCATACACAATTCATAATGTAGGAGTCAGTAGACGATTATAGATAATCAGTAGTTTGACTGTGCCAAAGCATTTCCAATTTGACCAAAAGAATGAGACTTTGCATTTATGATGTGCACAAGTGACTCAGTGGTGTGGACATTGGACAAGTCATTTTGAGAATTCCAATTCTGATCTGAGAAATGTACCAAAGCAACTGAGAAAAAGTAAGACATTCACAAAGAAATACTGTCAACTGCAAAATTGGAAGGGAGAGATGTGCAAATAAAATTTTAAGTGGGATGTGCAATAAATGAATAGGTGTAGTTTCAGAGCTATGTGTCATGACTAGGACTCAGAGCATTTGGGTAAAACCATATTTACTGGCTTTCGCATTTCCTGTTGATCCATCCAGTGATTTCTAGAGATGGTAGGGGGTGGGAGAAATAAGGATTAGATGTGGGCAGGGGGTGACAGGCAATACATTATTGTCCTTTCGACAACATCTTATCTAGTTGCAAATAAGTCTAGCTTGCTTACTGCCTTTACTGTAGGCCTTTTCCCACAGCAATAACTTTTTCAGAAACTACTTCTGTTGTGTTCCGACCAGAGGTACTTCTCGTTTGATTCGGCATTGTTGGGGTGGGGCTTATAGAGATAAACTTCTGTTGCACTTGTCTCGTGTTTACCACCTGCTGTTTTTGCACATGTCTGCACATGTGCACTTTACGTTTTTTTGTATTGTCCCAGTCCTTTTATGTAGCACCATGGTCCCAAGCAACGTTATTTCATTTCACTTTGTACTGTACCATGTATATTGTTGAAATGACAATAAAAGCAACCTTGAACCTTGAACTTCTGCTTAGCTGACCTCAAGCACCAGTGCCAAGTTGCAAGTTAAGCAGAAATACAGAGAAAAGAGAAAGTACTGGAGCAAAAATGGGGCATATGTAATTTTTTTTGTATTTTAGTTACATTAAATGCATTAAGAACATAAAGTTCCAAACGACAAGAGGCCATTCGGCCTATCAAGATCACTTGGAGGAAATTAAACTAATAATTTAAAGATGGCAGGATTTTGTTAAGTTCAAATTTGAAGGACTCTAGGGTCTTAGTTTGCACTCCCTCATTGGGCAGACTATATTACACGCTATGAGATGTTCTTTCTTGGATCCAAAATAATGTTCCATAGTGTTCCACAAGTAATTTCTGACTGTGGTCACAGGTTCTTGAATTAGAATTTACTGTGAAGTAACAATATGGATGAACAGCATCTAAACCTTTTAGAATCAAAATCATACCAGGATCATGTCACCCCTTGGTCTCCTTTGCTCAAGACTAAAATCCAGCTCTGCAAACCTCTGCTCGTAAGACATTCCCCTAAGGCCAGAAATTATTCTTGTAGCCCTGCGTTGGACCATTTCTAAAGCAACAATGTCCGTTTTGCGGTAAGATGACCAAACCTGGACACAGTATTCAAGATGAGGTCTGACAAGGGAATTATATAATCTTAGTATCACCTCCCTTGATTTAAACTCAACACACCTAAATAGGCAACCCAGCACCCTGCTTTTCACTCTTCCCCACACTGGCAAGAGTGGGACATGGAAGCATCAACATACACACTGAGGTCTTTCTCATAATCAGCTACCTTTATTTCAGTGGGACCCATAAAATATCTGTACTTTATATTTCTGGTCACTGCATGGATTACAATACATTAATCTACATTTAATTTCATCTGACATTTATCAGCCCAGTCTTTAAATAAATTGAGGTCCTGCAGTAACACCTCTGTGGCTAACTCAGAATCTGTCATGCCCTGCTTGTCCGATCCTCCTGTGTGCCATGCTCCCCTCGCTACCTCGTGTGGAATCCCAATGTCACCAGCTGTTTCCAGTCATGTTGATTAGTCCTCTGTATTTAAGTCTGCATTAAAGTATGTTTCCCCAGTCCAGACACTGACGTTATGTGGTTGTATCCCGATTGTGTCTTTCCTTTGATTAAACCCCGTATTCTCCCGACACCTTGAGTCCTACCTTTGCTTACCCGGTCTGTGCTTCCCCAGTACATAACACAATGACCAGACTCCACAACAAGACACCGCTAACGCAGGAGGCTCATCTGCCTGCAGCTTCGCCACCTGCGCCCGAGACCCTGACCAGACAGTTCTTTGCCCTCCAGGGTCTAAACTGGTGGGTGAGGGGGGTTCTGCCGATGCTGGACTCCCCTGAAACTTCCTCGCTCCGTACATGGCTTAAGGAGGAGTTCGCCGCCTTAACCCTAACTTCCCCGCCTCAAGCGCTGGGGATGATGGTGGAGAGGCTGAGGAAGCTGCTTCAGTTACGGACAGAGCAAGCTTCCTCAGCAGGAGATGCTCTGGCCCCCGTGGTTCCTGGCCCGGCGGTTCCTGCGCCGGTCCCTGCAGTTCCTGTCCCAGTTCCTGATCCCCGGGACCCTGCTCCCAACCCCCCGGTTCCTACTCCCGATTGCCTGGTTCCTGCTTCTGCCCCACTGATCCCCTCTGGTGGGTCACTCCAACTACCACCTCATCGCAGCAGATCCCATTTGGGTCCCCATCTCTGTCTCCTGGAGAGATAAAGGACACCTGTGCCAGGGTCGGGTCCCACCCGCCGTGCCCCCGGCTCGCCTTTGGTCCCCCTGGCTTTGGTATGTCCTGGCT